ACCATCATTACATTTTGTTTTATTGCTCCCCACTAGCTCATGCATATAATCACATTCAAATCCAATTATTGTTCCAGAACAAACAGGGTAGTCTTGATCATAGATCTGTCTACCATTTTTTGGTTCCCCTGGATCATCACAATCCATCTTGCATTGGGGTGTGGCTTTATCCCAATATCCACTGAGGCACACTGTCACATATTCGTCTTCACATTCATTAGATGTAGGATCAATCAGCGTGTAGTTTTCATCACAATAATACGACACTTGTGTTCCATTTTCTACTGGATACTGCAGGTCTTCCAACTGTCCACCATTATCTGGACTTCCTGGATCATCACAACCTGATACACATGCAGGAATTGGATTAGTCCACTGGCCTTCGTCACATGTAATAGTTTCATCACCACTAATCATATAGTCTTCATCGCACATAAATGTTACAGTAGTTCCTGTGCATACAGGATAAGAGTAAATACCAACTTGTGTACCATTATCTGGTGTCCCAGGGTCGCTACATCCTTCCATGCAATCAGGAACAAGTTGACTCCATTCTCCATTGATGCAAGTTGTCTGTGATTCTTGTATACAGCTTTCGGATGATGCATTGTATAACATGTATGTGCCATTACAGTAAAAGCTCACAGTTGTACCAGACAAAACCGGATAGTCATAATCTTCTACTTGTCCACCATTATCTGGTGAACCAGGGTCATGACACTGTGGAATACAAACAGGTGTCTCCCTATTCCATGTTCCATTCACACACATAGTTTCATTGAATCCAATTAATGCATGTAGCTCATCACATGCAAATCCTACCGTAGTTCCTACACACACAGGGTAATGTTGTTCACCTAACTGGCTTCCATTTTCAGGATATCCAGGATCATTACAAGGTTGCTCACACTTTGGAACAGGATTCGTCCAATGAGTCTCAAAACACATTGTACTGTATTCCTCCACGCATTCTTTTTCTGACACATCAAATAGAACATATCCATCATTGCATTCAAACTCGACATTTGTGCCATTAGTAACTGGATATTCATGTGGCCCTATTTGATACCCATTTTCAGGTGTTCCTGGGTTGTAGC